ATAAGGCTGTGCCCCAAAACCCCAAAACCCCTTAAAGTGTGAAAATTGAATAACTTGGAAATAAATAAAATAATTTACGAATTAAAATAGACTGTTCTTATTGGAGCCCGTCAATACTTAAATTATTGAATTGATTATACTTAAAGTATTAAATGTTTTTAAAATATCTTTAGGGCACAGCCTTATTCATTTTGATTTCAATTTCTTCAGATCAAGCATCTTGTTTGCAATAAAGAAAGCTATTACAGAATTCTCCATCAATTCTTCTCAAATTAGAGCTTGAACTTCAAGGAGAGTCAATCATTGCTGTGAATTTGGAAGATAAAACTAATGATACTTCAAAGTGTTCTACTACTAATTCTACGCAATAGAATAAAACAGAATCTATAGTTAATGATAAAAATGTTGCGGATAAAACTTAAAAAGCCCAAATTATTAAACCTTTGGATTTGAGTCTTTATACATCTGAGAAGTAACCTGAGATTTTGACTCGTGAAAAACATTTTAAGTATATCCTTTAGAAAGCAGTAAGCTTTGAAATTAAAAATGGGGTTATCACAGATAGCATTTCTGATACACTTTAGTTCTGTTTAAATTATAAAGAATTTCTTTCATAACTTGATTAGTTATCATTAGCTGACTTAAAGAGTTTAAATGAAGATGCTAGATAGTATTAAGAAGACGATGACATAGTTATGGCAGAATATATTTAATAATACGGATAAAAAGGAGGAGCCTTTGAGTTATTATAGATTTATATTTCCAGCTATTATGATTTATAATATCCCTACGCCGCAGGCATAATCCCTGACCAAGCTCTTTTTATTATGCCTACAGAAGAAGAGTACAATTCAGAAAAAACCAAAATTAATTAGAATTTAAAAGCCTTTTATTCAAGTTAATTAGCAGAGAGGTATGACCCTGATTCATAAAGTGCAAAATAATTTTGCGATCATTAAGTTAGATACTTCATGAAATCTTCCTAGATTTTCCTTTAAGCTCTTCCCAAATTGACAAAGTTGCAGCTATTAGCAATTGGTAACCATATTAGATCTTAAACTCTTGGTGGTCGCTCTCCTGAAGAGATAAAAACTTACTAAGATTCATATTAAGAATTCTACATGATATGTAAAGATCAGATTTCAAGTGACTTAACAATTCCAGAACTCTGAATATGTTGAAAATTTGAAGTGACAAGGGACTCTCGCTCTCTTGATTGAGTAAGCTTAAATATTAATTCAAAAATTAACTTAAGTAAACTACTATCTAAATTAAGGATACAGGATAACCTCTCTTAATAATATTTATTTTTAATCATACTTACAATTAATAATAATTTACGAAAGTATAAATTTTAAGATATATAAAGCAAGGATAAAACTCTATGTAGGAAATACTATTGCAAATCTCTGAACTTAAATTTCAAGGAAACTATTCCTAAATTTATTGTAAATTATCAAAGTGCATTTGGCAAGCTAGGTTTCTCAATCGTGGACAAACTAAATTATTCAATTTAAAAACTGATAGAGTGACTTCTAATACTTTGATTAATTATTTAATTTAAAATATGTATAGAATAGCATTCGTGAAATATTATTTATTTTAGGTTATAGTGTCTTCATATTTCAATCAATCTTTAAGGAAAATATCACAATCGATATTAGGGTTAATTTCTTTATTTAAATCATTCATTGAAAAAGTTGTCAAATTCTAATGGTGAGATGGATTATTAGTGATTAAAGATTTTATAATTACATAAGCAACCTGACTACAGATAAACTTCATTCTTAAACACATATTTATTTTAAAGCAAAAGGAATGAAATCTGCAAAGAATTGAAATTAAAATACAAAATGAATAAAAAGAGTTTGAATATTCCATTTATAATCATTGCTAATTTTATTAACATTAACTTTTTTCCCTATATTCTAGTTCAATTTCTAATGGGGTTTTGGGGTTTTGGGGTTTTGGGG